TTATATCCGTGCATTTGCATGTTTTAATTATCTCAATCATTTTACATCCAATCTGAATTGAGGTCAAAGGCCCACCACAACTATTCATGTCAGAACTAACGAACGAGAATGAATGAACTAGCAAAGAGTTGGGTAAAATTACTAACCCTAATTGGGTTGTACCCCTTGTAGCCTACACAATATAAGCAATAAAACATTTTAACACACCCCAATAGGCAAAGTGGGGGAGAACAAGTGGTCACAAGACCAGTCAAGAAAAGTAAAGCAAGCTCGGGGTGGATCACAAAGTCACCACACAGTCCGAGCACAAGCAAAGGGCCACAAGGCCAGTTCATATGCAGAGTTATATAAAGAGAACAAACAATACAGTGATCATACCCTAGCAAGTGTAAGCATGCATGTATATATATATACCACAATACAAGCAGAGTCAAGCAGTGAGCAAGTGAGGCAAAGTAGGCACAAGGCCTAACAAAGTAGAGAAGCGCTGATGAGCACCAGGCGGAAGTGCCTTGGTGAATATATCAGCAGTGTTGGCCCTAGTGGCCACGTACGCAAGACGAAGCTGGCCACGCTGCTGCAACTCTCGAGCAAGGAAGTATCGCAGAGCGATGTGCTTCGTTCTGTGCTCCAGCCTGTGCTCCTGACACAAGGCAATCATGGCCTTGTTGTCTACGTACAGAACTGGAGGCGAACGAGGCTGCTCTCCCAAGTCAGTCAGCAGGTAGGTGAGCCAGCGTAGCTCCTGTGCAGCCATGGCCCCTGCGTAGATCTCCGCCTCACAACTGGAGCTGAGAACCGAAGACGAGTGGGTAGACTACCACGAAACAGAGCCGGGACCAAGGCTGAAGGTGTAACCCTGTGTCGACCGCTGCGTAGCTGAGTCGTCAACCCACGAGGCGTCTACGTGACCAGTGAGGACAACTGGACCCCGTCCTCCAAGCACGAGCCCCATGCCCGACTTACTGCACAAGTAATGTAGTACCCTGTTCGCAGCATCCCAGTGCACCTTTCGATGCCTACCGAGAGGCACGTAGCGAGCCAGAAGGCTGAGAGGTTACGCGAGGTCAGGTCGTGTGCACATCATCAGGTACATGAGGCAACCCACAAGCTCTGGGTATGGACCACTCGGCTCTACGGACTCGTCCGAAGGTTGAGCTGAGAGCGAGTGGCCGGTAGACAGAGGAGTGGGCTGTGGCGAGGAGAACTGGAAGCCGAAGCGCTGAAGGACCTGGTGCACCATGTGTGACTGAGTCAGAGTGATGGTGCGCCGTGCTCTGTCCCGGGTGATCTGCAGGCCAAGATAGCTGCGTAGTTCACCCAGGTCAGTGCAGGTGTGTCTCTTCTGCAGCTCCGACTTCACAAGGGTCAGTGCCTCGGTGTCAGTAGTGGCAAAGACGAGGTCGTCGACGTACACGAGGACGTAGAACGGCGGCAGCGAGGTGTCGGTGCGCAGAAACAGCGACGGGTCACCAGTAGAAGGAGCAAACCCAAGAGCCGCAAGGGTAGTCCTCAGTGTGTCGTGCCACTCGCGAGGCGCCTAGCAAAGACCGTAGACTGGCCGCCGGAGGCTCCACTGGATACTTGCAAGAAACGACCCAGTGAAGCCAGGTGGGCGGAGAAGGTCTGGAAGTAGTCAACCCCCTGTCGCTCACTGAAGCCTCGAGCAACATAACGCGCCTTGAAGGCAGGCGGAGAACCCGGCGGCCGCTTCACCCTGAAAATCCACATGCCATCGACTATGTTCGCCCCAGGTGGGGGAACCTCATCGATGTAGGTGCCTGTGGACTTCCAGGATGCCATCTTGGCATCCATGGCGGCCTCCCACTGAGAGGAGTAAGGACCCGTAATCGCCTCTGCGTAAGAGCGCGGGGTCGGGATGTCTGGTGCATCCGGGTCTCCCTCACGAGCAAGCAGCATGGAAGCGAAACGAGGTACAGCAGCTGCAAGACACTCAAAGTCCTCCTGCCTGTCCTCTAGGACGTCCGTGCCAAGAGCACACTCACCCCCGACGGACGGAGGACTGGCAGACACAGACTCAGAAACAAGAGCAGTGGCGTAGTCTAGACGACAGGCAGCAGCAAAGTCAAGCAGCTCAGCAACGAGGGCAGACGCAGCAGCAGACTCAAAGGAAGGGTAAGTGACAGCAGTGGCAAGAGACAAGAGACAACGGGACTGGTAGCACGAGCGCGGTCAGACTCAGGGTCAGGGATCGCAGGAAGAGAGGACTCAGGAGGAGCAGGCAGAGGAACACGCAGTGGAACGGAGGAAGGACGAAGTGCCATAGCGTGCGTGCCGGGGACAGGAGGAGGACGCGAAGGAGGAGCGCGACGAGCAGTGCGAAGAGGCGAGAAAGGACGAGACGGGCTCACGACGCTCTGTAAGCCTGCCGGACTGCTCAGTGTAAGGAGAAGGAGGAGGCAGTGGGGACGCCGGATGTAACGGCAGCTGCGACTGGTCAGGCGGTGGACACAGGAGGGGAGGAGTAAGGCTAGTAGAAGACGGGAGACCAAGAACCTTCTGAAGCAGGGGAACGAAGTACGGTCACGGCCGCACAATGTCTCCAGGGTCAACAGCTCCAGCTCCTCCAGCTCCAGTGCCTCCCTCACCAGTGCCTCCAACGTCAGTGCCACCAGCTCCAGCGCCTCTCGCTCCAGTGCCTCCAACTCCAGCTCCTCCAGCTCCTGCGCCACCAGCGCCAGAGCCTCCAATTCCAGCAGCTCCAGGCTCCGTAAGGTCTATAGCTCCAGCTCCCCCAACACCACTATTCCCGGAAGCTCCAGTACTCCCGGTACGAGCACCTCAAGGACCAGTAGCCGCAGTACCTCCAGTACCACCAGCTCCAGCAGTAACTCCAGCACCTCCAGCTCCAGCAGCTCCAGCGCCTCTAGCTCCGGTAGCTTCACTCCGAAGGCGTGCGCGCTGAACAAGCCACTCACGCAGCTGCTGCGGAGACAGTCTTGGCGAAGCACCGGCAGGACCTCCAGACGAAGCAGCACCCTGAGGCTCAGCACCCCCAGACTCCGCACCCTCCGACTCAGCACCCCCAGGCTCAACACCCTCAAGCTCAGCACCCCCAGGCTCCACACCCGCAGGCTCAGCACCCCCAGGCTCCTCACCCCAAGGCTCAGCACCCTCAGACCCAGCACCCTCAGACTCAACAACCCCCGGCTCCGCACCGCCAGACGCAGCACCCCCAGACGCAGCACCTCGAGCAGCACCTGAGCCGACAGCTACCTCAACAGGCGCAGTACCAGGGAGAGGGTCTACCTGAGACACACCTGAGGGAGCAGGACCCTGGGGCGGGAGGGGGTCTACCAGAGGGGGGCCTGGAGCAAGGAAGAGCGGCGGGGGCGGGGGAGGGGCAGAGCGGTAGGGGAAGAGACGGTAAAAGGGAACCGCCTCTTGAGAGGAGAAGACACGGCGCGAGGTGGGGTGGTAAAACTGCCAGCCAGGCGCGTCAGGGGTAAAGCCAAGGAAGACGCAGGGAATAGCGCGGGCGGAGAGCTTGTCCGCGGACATATCGCGAACAAAGGCACGAGAACCCCAGACCCGGAACACTGACGCATCGCCAGCCTTCCCCGTCCAACGCAGTGTAGGCGAGGTCTCCGGCAAGGAGACACGGGGCCAGAGTTTGAGCTGATGCGCAGCGTACCGAACCGCAAACGGCCACAGAAAATGGGGAGCAGCCGCATGGATCATGGAGGTACGAGCGACCTCCATGACTAACCCAATGCGGCGCTCAGCAATCCCATTTTGCTGAGGGGAGTCCGGAAGCGTGAACGACTAGAGAATGCCCTCCCCACGACAAAAGTCCCGCAAGAGGTCGGAGGAGAACTCACCACCTCTGTCAGAGTGCAGACGCAGGACAGGAAGGTCCGCACGGAACCGCTCGCGGAGCTGGAGACGGACTGCGCGGATCCAAGGGATCAAGACATCAATGACCTGACCCTTGCTGCGCAAGGGGAAGATCGTGGTGTACCGCGTGTAGTCGTCAACAACCAGCAGAAAGTAGCGCTCGCGGCCCTGTCCACTAACGCGGGCTGGGCCCCACACGTCCATGTGGAGAGTCTGCAGGGGAGCAGTCGTCGGGGGAAACGAGGAGGAGTGAGGAGCGGCGCGCTGCCGCCCCTCGACGCAAGGAAGGCAGGGCGGGGCAGGTGAGGGCGGGAGGGGAGGCAGAGACCTGGGAAGACCAGAGACAAGGAGACGGGAGTGCATGCCACGAAGGCGTGGCAGGGAGGGGTGACCCAGGCGGTGGTGCCACAGAAGAGTCTGGTGCGACAGGAGGCGACAAGAGCAAGGGGATGCTACCTGACCTGACGCGGACACCTGAGCAGACGCAACTACCTGAGGAGGCTCAGTAGCCAGTGTGTACAGACCCGACCCAGTCTGACGAGTGAACGTGGTCAGGTGACGACCCGTCCGTGTACACATGCAGATCGACACACGCTGACCCCCAGGAGTGGTGGTAGTGACCATCGCATCCTGGAGAGCAGCGGTACTCACCAAGTTCGTAGAGAACGAGGGGAGGTGAAGACCTGATAGTGAGCCGGACGGAACCGCCGGACACGGGAGGACAGTGGAGGAACGGGCAACGACCGGGCCCTTGGAGGGGTCAGCCAGTTGGACCGGGACAGGTGCAGGGAGAGGAGTGAGAGTGGTGCTGTCACAAAAGAAACAGCGTGAGGCACCTTAGTCCAGCGTGAAGGTGTGCAAGGCCTCAGCAGGCGCAGTACCAGGGAGAACAGACTCACTAGCACCTAGAGCAGCAGCGTCTATACCTGGGTCAGGCGGCACACACCGGTAGCAGTCACCCTCAGCACTAGCAGACAAAGCATACATAGCAGAAAGAATAGCATCATAGTCTAGGTCAAAGATCGCAACACCAGACCTAAGCAGCTCTGCCCAGTGGGGGCGGTCGACCTCGTCACCAAACTCAGCACGCCAAGCGTCGTCGAGACGGGAGAAGCAGCGGTGCTGTGTGTGTGCCTTCCCGCATGTCTGACCAGCACGGTCACCCGTGCGAATGACATACGGGCAGCTCACACTACCCCCAGACGCCCCACGCTGAAACAACCACTCACGGAGCTGCTGGGGCGACGGGGTTTCACTCCGATGCTGCTCCCGCTGCCTCTGGCCTCCTCCAAAACCTCCACGCTGAGCTCCAGTCCTCCCGCCACCGCTCCCACCGCTGCCACTACCGACACTCCCACCACTGCCTCCACCACCGCCACCAGAGCCCCCACTCCCGGCACCACTCCCACCGCTGCCACCACCTCCACCGCCTCCACCACTTCCACTGCTGCCCCCACCACCACCCCCGCTGCCACCCCCACCACCCCTGCCACCCTTGCCCTTGCTGCTGCGGCGCTTCCCACTAGTGGAAGCAGCTCCGACATCCTCAGCACCAAGGACGTCAACAGCAGCAGCAGAGTGTAGGAGGGGGCAAGGGGGGAGGGGGGACACCCCTCAAAGAAGGGCGTGCGAGGAGTACCACGAGCAGCACCTACAGCGACTACACTAGTCTCAGCTGCAAGGAGGTGTTGCTCGAGTAGGTCAACAGTGAGGTCTGTGGGGTCGAGTGTCAGAATGTTATGTTTTGTCTAGCCTGCAGTGGGGTACTCAATAGTGAGTACAGCCCAATTTAGGGTTTGCTATATGTACTCAACTGCTTGCTAGTGAAACCCCCTCTTTCTCATTTCTAACTTTTCTGTTTTCTTAACATCGAGCGCGAGAAAGTGGTCCTTGACAGCGCGAAGAGAGTTAGGGAGGCGGGTGCCTATAAAGTAGAGATTGATGTACATCGGGGGCGGGTTCTTGGCAAGGAACTCTGCTGGGAGGGCAGCGCGGTAGCGAGTGTCGCTTGTGCGAAGGTGGGAAACTAGGTCCTCTACTGTGGCAAAGGCGGATAGCTCGGGAAACAGGTAGGGCAGTAGAAGACGGCCTAGAGCAGCAGTGGCAGGCGAGGAGTAACGGGCGACTACATCGTTGTACAGTGTCTGTGCTTTCCTGTGCTGTCCGAAGTGAGCGCATTCGGCCAACGGAAGGTGGTTGCGAATGGCTAAGCGAGCAGCTGCGTCACGAGTAAGCCACTGTGAGCAAGTCGCAATGTCAGCTGTGGCGGTAGGGGCGGGAGCGGCGCCAGACGTGTGGTCAAACAACGAAACACTGCCCCTAGAGTCGCTCAGTAGGTACAGCTGCAAGTCGTCTAGCCACGTGTCAAACTGGATCGGTCGGCCCTCATGATCGAACGCTAGAACTCGGAGAGAAGCCATAGTGGCGCAGCACGCAGGGCGGGCAGAGGCCGGGCAGCGCAGGGAAAAGGGGAGGCATGCAGTAGGTTGCAGGAGGGGCAGCTCGAGGGCCTAGGGGCGGCCGCGGGGCAACGTGTCGGGGCCAGGGGCGACGGGCCGGGGCCTAGGGGCGACTGGCCGCGGGGCCAGGAGCGACGGGTCGAGGGCGTAGGGGAGACGGGCCGCGGGGCCAGGGGCGACGGGCCAGGGGCCTAGCGGCGACGGGTCGCGGGGCCTAGGGGCGACGGGCCGGGGCCGGGGCCTAGGGGCGACGGGCCGAGGGGCGACTGGCTAGGGGCCGGGGCCTAGGGGCGTCGAGCGCGGGCCGAGGGGCGAGGGGCGTCGGGCGACGGGGCCGGGCCTAGGGGAGCGACGGGCGACGGGGCCGATGGGCCTAGGGGCGTTGGGCGACGGGCCGGGCCTAGGGGAGCGACGGGCGACGGGGCCGACGGGCCTAGGGGCGGCGGGCGCGAGCGACGGGCCGGGGGCCAACGGGTCTAAGGGCGACAGGCGCGAGCGACGGGCTGGGGCCGGGAGCTAGGAGCGACGGGCGCAGGGCGACGGGCCGGGGGAGCGACAGGCGACGGGGCCGACAGGCCTAGGAGCGTTGGGCGGCAGGGCGGGCCTAGGGGAGCGACGGGCGGCGGGGCCGACGGGCCTAGGGGCGGCGGGCGCGAGCGACGGGCCGGGGGGCAGATCCTAGGGGCGACGGGTCGGGACCGGGGCCTAGGGGTGTCGGGCGCGAGCGACGGGCGACGGAGCCGGGGCCTAGGGGCGACGAGCGCGAGCGCCGGGCGACGGGGCCGGGGCCTAGGGGCTACGGGCGACGGGCCGGGGCCTAAGGTCGAGAGAAGGGCCACACGAGAGCGGCGCGCAGGGCAGCAGGTGGTGGGCCCAAGGGAAAAAAAAAACGGTCCTAGCGAAGGACCTGCTGTGAAACCATGTCAGAACTAACGAACGAGAAAGAATGAACTAGCAAAGAGTTGGGTACAAGTACTAACCCTAATTGGGTTGTACCCCTTGTGGACTACCCCACTATAGCCTACACAATATAAGCTATACAATATTTTGACAATTCAATCGTGTGCGAACCTTCCTGTGGTGATCCTAGGGACGACCAACTTTTGATCGCAACAGAAAAGAGAGGGGAATCACTATAGGAAACACTATAGATAAAGACAACTCTATAAAAAACATGTATAATTTGTATTTTATTACCAATGTTTCCAAACCCATGCTTGATTCTCCCATCGTTTGTGCTTCCGATTGTTCGCCCATATGCACCCCTCTTCTATGCACTAATAATTTCACCCGTGTAAGATGTCCATAACATTTGTGATGGGCATATATATGTATCTATACATACATATATTGTCAGAATTATATTCTTATACCTGCATGTGGTTCTAGCTGTAGTGTAGATATTAACTTTATAGGTGGTGCACCTCTTTGTTTGCTATATGTACCCTAGTGCTATAGTGAACACAATTTCCCCATTCTCCTCTCTGCTTGGCACAAACCACCTCAACTCCCTTGGCCTAGGCTACTAAGCCTAGGCCCTCACTTGAACCTAGTCTTCACTTTTGCCTACTATTCAACATGGTATTAGAGCCTGTTACGTCCTGGCCTGTGGGCCAGCCTCACGCTTCCGCAGCTGTTTTTCCGGTCGCGCGCCTCGGGCGCGTGGCGATTTTCGTTCTGTCCCGCGCCCGGGTGGCGTGTGACGTTTTTTCTGCCCTGAGCCGCAGCGGATCCGCCCCTGGCGCCCGCGACGGTGCTCTGCCTGCCTGCCTGCCCGTCGTGCGCCCCGTGGCGCGCGACGGTGCCCTGAGCCGCCGCGGACCCGCCCCTGGCGCCCGCGACGGTGCCCTGGGCCGCTGCGGACCCGCCTCTGGCGCCCGCGACGGCGCCTCTGCCTCACCTCGCGCCTGCCTTCGAGCAGCCGCCCCTGACTCACCCGCGTCTGCCCTCGGAGCAACCGTCCCTGCCTCAAATGCGTCTGCACTCGGTGCAGCCGCCCCTGCCCTACCCGCGCATGCCCTCGGAGCAGCCGCCCCTGCCTCACCCGCGCCTGCCCTCGGAGCAGCCGCCCCTGCCTCAAATGCGCCTGCACTCGGTGCAGCCGCCCCTGCCCTACCCGCGCATGCCCTCGGAGCAGCCGCCCCTGCCTCACCCGCGCCTGCCCTCGGAGCAGCCGCCCCTGCCTCACATGCGCCTGCACTCGGTGCAGCCGCCCCTGACCTTCACGCGCCTGCCCTCGGTGCAGCCGCCCCTGCCCTTCCCTGTGCGCCACCCCTCTGTGGCCGTGGGGCGGCTTCTTCCCCGCCACCACCCCCCCCCCCCCCCTCCTTCTTCTCCCTGCTGCGCGTGCAGCCGTGGGGGGGAGGGTATGGAGGTGGCGGGTATGGGGGTGATGGGTGTCTGTGATCCCCTTCCCCTCCTCTTTCTCTCCCACTACTGCAGCTGCCGCTGGGGGGGGGAGGGTGTGAGGGTGTGGGGAGCCGGGGGAGTGGCACTAGGGACGTTGAGGAGTGTGCAGAGGGGGTTTGGGAGCATGGGGGAGGTTCCAGGAGGCAGCCGCCGTGAAGCCAGCAGCCTCACCTGCCGCCTCCCAACTCCTCCTCCTCACTGCCCCTCTAGTGCTGCCACTTGTCTTTATTCTGTGAACTTGCATCTGTTACCTTGCCTGATGTTACTGTTTTCTCTATCTGTGGTGTACCCCTGCAGGTTGTGTTCTGCACTTAGCTATTCCTGCATGCAGTTACGGGGGGATGTCAGAATTATATTCTTATACCTGTATGTAGTTATAGCTGTAGTGTAGATATTAACTTTATAGGTGGTGCACCTCGACTCCCTTGGCCTAGGCTACTAAGCCTAGGCCCTCACTTGAACCTAGTCTTCACTTTTGCCTACTATTCAACATATATTGCTGCCTGGTGTCAGGATATGTGAATCAAATTGGATGCCGACTGAAATCATACTCAATAAAGGGTATGAAACATAAAGCCATTCTGAATCCCACATGAAGTAGTTTTTTATTGGTATTTTATCAATGATAATTATATACCCTCCCAAGACGAGATTTATTGTTGTCCTTTCCTAGGGAGAAAGTTGGGGACATTCATCCTCAGTCGTGAACTATAGCCATAATGATCACAGCATTTCAATCGGCATGGTTCGTTGGAATTGAGTTTGGCCTACAGCACAAAGCGCCGCAACCATTCGCTAGTAGCCAACATCGACCCATCTTAAATTATGATTACGGATCCTTTGCTGAGATATCACTAGCTGGAGTGCAGCCTACTTGCACACTCCATTTCGTCCAGCTACTGTGATTGGTTTTCCAAACTGCAGCATTGCATTTGTGATATCATCGTTGAGTCAATTCCAGCCCTTTACGGGTAGATTATGGTGTCACGCAAATTTCAAACACCTTTGGCATTCCAAACACCTTAGGAGGTACACCGCTGTCAAATCCGTTCTCTGCTGGTTCAGGATTTTTGAAGGTATTTCTCAACAGTCCGGTCCGAGATACACTTCTTTATGACCAGTAGTTCACTGTTACCGACCACCCCATCACGTGCCCATTTGGCTGAGTAGACGATTTGCGAGCCGGACCACTGAATTTCTCACGCCCACCTCCAAGCAACAGTGCGCTGATTACTGTGGATGCAGGTATCTGGTCATCAACCTTTTTTCTCGCGCTGCCAGTTGCCCTCTTGAGCGACCTTTGATTGGGTCGTTGAAGATAATGAATCCGCTGCCCGGTTGAGAAACAAGCTCTTGGACACAAGATATCAGACTCAAAATGATGTTTGCTGTGGACCACAAACAGGTTTCTGGAAGCATGTTACTGTGGCTTCCGTTCCGGAGTGCGTCGAAAGGAGAATGGAAGCTGTGAAAGTGACACATACGCCGACTTCATTTTAGAATTTCAACAGAAGCCCTGGCTTGGAAGGTGGTGAAACTTTCTGGAAACACGTTAAAGCGTTTTGTCGCCTAATTCGAATATTTCCTCTCACCCAGCGCATGAAAGATGCGTTTCTGGCCCATATGAAATCGTTCACGAAAGGGCACATCCAACCAGAATGATCATCATCTCCGGATTGCAATGTCTGCTGCATTAAATAGCGACGCAGAAATGAT